ATATATATATATATATATATAATGCATAAAACACATCAACCCTTATAACCTAAAACAACATATTGTTTACAGGTAAGAACACCTTACAATTTTCTGATCCACACAAACAAGGTTTGGAGATCACTGGTTTGGATCCTGATTCATGAGCAACATTTATCTTCTTCATAACCTGTTGTTGTTGCTTGTAGCCACTTTGGGCATAATTTTCTTGATTTTCTCCTGAGGACATAGCCACTGCAGTTGACGTAATGTTGTTTTGAGCATCTCCAAATGAAAGCTCACTGAATGAGCTGCTTCTCCCTCTCTGTAATGATGGCATATTCGCAGTAAGCTGAGAGGCTCCGCTGCTGATGATGTTGCTGGAATCGTAGTCGTAGCAGAGCTCTTCTCCTGGCTGTATATCTCGAATGGCAAATAATGCTGCCACTGGAACCATACTGTCTATTCTAACTGGAACAACTATCAAATTCGGACTGCAAGAATGGTTAATGTATCGCCCCAAATTTCCGATAACTGTTGGATCGATGACGGTAATTTGTGGTCCAGTCTTTTTACCTCCAAAATGTTCTCTCATAACTAAAATGTAGTTGGACTCATTTTCCTTTTGTTTTGCAAATCTAATTTTTGCTTCTTGGATGCTGATGAGTTCCCCAGCATATTCACACACAAATGAATTTTGAGGAATGAAATATGTAGTTCGAACACCGAAACCCTTCTCTGAATATAAAGTAATTTCTAATCCATTTAACGGTCCTTTTTGGACTAAGCGATTAGGACAACATTCATCACAACCACATTCATCATTGCACTCAAATATAGGATTGATTCCATAACCTGCATCAAGTTTTCCATCTTTATATGGTTGCCCAAATTGAACAATGCAAGTGCAGTCCTCAGAGCAAGTATTAACACACTTACAACCCTCAATCTGATCAGCATTGAATTTTACCATGTCAATACTTGACCCTGGAAATGACGATGCACAATATATGAGACCACACACAACATGCTCATATTCATCTTCAGCTTGCTGGCATCCTATGTATTCTGGTATATTTCTCACACTTGATGTACTCGGCTCGGATTCATCACTCACTCTTCTTAGAGAACTATCAACTGCCTTACCTACTGCATCATGATTGAAGGCCTTTTTCCCATTATCAAAAACTAAATCTGACACACTTAATGCAGAAGGTTTATCAACCTTATTGCAGTCATTTAACCCTTTCACACAAGATATACCCTCCACTTCCCTAGTTCCTGGGGCTATCAAAGACAAAGCCTGTTCTTCACATATCTTCCTTCGTTTTTTGCTTGCTGGCAAATCAGAATGTGCACCTTTGTTACCTTCACATTCACCTCCTTTCAATTCTCCAGCCAGGAGCAGAGGAGATAAAGCCCCTCCTTCCTTGTTGGCTCTAAGACTGAAACATTTACTTTTCTCTTTGTAGGAGCTGAAACTTTCACTCGCGACATAAGTGCATTCTGTTTCCCCATTTCCTTCACCTACATGACTGATTGACTGGAGAGTTAAATGATCATTAATGGATTCTAATTGTTTTCTACATCTGGAATCAGTGTTTAATGGCAGTGTTGATGTTTCTGCAAATGTAGGGCTATCTATAACTTTCTCCATTCCTTCCATAATATTTTCTTCTTTTCTTCCTGTACAGTGAGCTTCATTCAATTCTGAAATTAAAAAAGAATATATCTATAATCAGTGGAATTCAAATTACAGAATACCTTATTTAAAGAACAAAACCATACTCAGTAAGATCATATTGCAGTTTATCAAAGCCTAAAAAAACACAAAGGAAGACATAAGCAATCATATAAAAATGAATTACCTCCCTCCTTTTACATCACACCTGAGCAATTTCCCCAAATCCCAAACCTTCTATAAAACCTACCATTTACTTTGTCCATTGTTCAGGTAGGGATTTCAGCGTCAACACCGTTGATTGGACAGAAGAGTTGATCATGGACTTTGCCGCACTTGGCAAACACTTGTACACACCATACCCAATGAGACCGTACACTGTAATCTTGGCAGTAACCTTCAGGATTTGGCTTGATAAACTGGGCGGTGGTATCCTGTAAGGATTGAGGCACAACAACTGAAATAAGTGTGATTTTATTCCCTTTTCTTCAAAACTACTACCACTGTTACTGCTACTGCTACTATGACTCCTAATGACAATGATGATGGCAATGACGATGACAATGATGATGGAAAAAAAAAAAATAATAATGGTTCTTAACCTATTCTCCCCATGAGGCAAGAATAGATACCGTGCCCACTTTAATACACATCTATTTACTGTATTTACATATAGATGGTTCCACAAGTTCTTAACTACCAAATAGCCAGTTATCAAGAACTACCTTTTTGTATTATTTCATTGTCTAAAATATTCTAATGACAATCTAATAATCACAACATCAATAACAATAATAACAGTATCGATAGCAATGGTATTAATTTTCCCGCCAATTCAATGAATGGGAAAATCAGGGTCGGTAACTGGGGCCTACTGATAGACTCCTTGCCGGCTGAGCACATGTGGAGCCATCTGTATGTAACAAAATTCACCAAAAACTACAGGGGACAGAACACAAATCCAGAGCGAATGGGTTAACATCTTCACTACCACGCCTCCTTTAGGAATTAGCCCTTCCCTCTACACCTCCCTTGTATCTATAAATAAAACTCCCTCCCAGATTTTAAAGAAAATCAAATATATGTTCTTTGTCTTTTTCTTGAGTATGAATTAGTCACATTATTATTGAGATACTGTTTAGAACAACAACAACAACAACAAGAGAAGAACAACAAGAACAACAACAAGAAGAGAAGAACAACAACAACAAGGGTCACATCTCCCCTCCCAAAGGTTTTGAAGGATATGGAGGGGGTACTAAGAGAGTACACTATAGTAAACTAGACTAATAAGGTGATACTTTTTTTACTTTTCTTTCTTTCTTTCTTTCTTTCTTTCTTTCTTTCTTTCTTTCTTTCTTTCTATCTTTCTTCTTTCTTTCTTTCTTTCTTTCTTTCTTTTATCTTTCTTTCTTCTTTTTTCTTTCTTTCTTTCTTTCTTTCTTTCTTTCTTTCTTTCTTTCTTTCTTTCTTTCTTTCTTTCTTTCTTTCTTTCTTTCTTTCTTTCTTTCTTTCTTTCTTTCTTTCTTTCTTTCTTTCTTTCTTTCTTTCTTTCTTTCTTTCTTTCTTTCTTTCTTTCTTTCTTTCTTTCTTTCTTTCTTTCTTTCTTTCTTTCTTTCTTTCTTTCTTTCTTTCTTTCTTTCTTTCTTTCTTTCTTTCTTTCTTTCTTTCTTTCTTTCTTTCTTTCTTTCTTTCTTTCTTTCTTTCTTTCTTTCTTTCTTTCTTTCTTTCTTTCTTTCTTTCTTTCTTTCTTTCTTTCTTTCTTTCTTTCTTTCTTTCTTTCTTTCTTTCTTTCTTTCTTTCTTTCTTTCTTTCTTTCTTTCTTTCTTTCTTTCTTTCTTTCTTTCTTTCTTTCTTTCTTTCTTTCTTTCTTTCTTTCTTTCTTTCTTTCTTTCTTTCTTTCTTTCTTTCTTTCTTTCTTTCTTTCTTTCTTTCTTTCTTTCTTTCTTTCTTTCTTTCTTTCTTTCTTTCTTTCTTTCTTTCTTTCTTTCTTTCTTTCTTTCTTTCTTTCTTTCTTTCTTTCTTTCTTTCTTTCTTTCTTTCTTTCTTTCTTTCTTTCTTTCTTTCTTTCTTTCTTTCTTTCTTTCTTTCTTTCTTTCTTTCTTTCTTTCTTTCTTTCTTTCTTTCTTTCTTTCTTTCTTTCTTTCTTTCTTTCTTTCTTTCTTTCTTTCTTTCTTTCTTTCTTTCTTTCTTTCTTTCTTTCTTTCTTTCTTTCTTTCTTTCTTTCTTTCTTTCTTTCTTTCTTTCTTTCTTTCTTTCTTTCTTTCTTTCTTTCTTTCTTTCTTTCTTTCTTTCTTTCTTTCTTTCTTTCTTTCTTTCTTTCTTTCTTTCTTTCTTTCTTTCTTTCTTTCTTTCTTTCTTTCTTTCTTTCTTTCTTTCTTTCTTTCTTTCTTTCTTTCTTTCTTTCTTTCTTTCTTTCTTTCTTTCTTTCTTTCTTTCTTTCTTTCTTTCTTTCTTTCTTTCTTTCTTTCTTTCTTTCTTTCTTTCTTTCTTTCTTTCTTTCTTTCTTTCTTTCTTTCTTTCTTTCTTTCTTTCTTTCTTTCTTTCTTTCTTTCTTTCTTTCTTTCTTTCTTTCTTTCTTTCTTTCTTTCTTTCTTTCTTTCTTTCTTTCTTTCTTTCTTTCTTTCTTTCTTTCTTTCTTTCTTTCTTTCTTTCTTTCTTTCTTTCTTTCTTTCTTTCTTTCTTTCTTTCTTTCTTTCTTTCTTTCTTTCTTTCTTTCTTTCTTTCTTTCTTTCTTTCTTTCTTTCTTTCTTTCTTTCTTTCTTTCTTTCTTTCTTTCTTTCTTTCTTTCTTTCTTTCTTTCTTTCTTTCTTTCTTTCTTTCTTTCTTTCTTTCTTTCTTTCTTTCTTTCTTTCTTTCTTTCTTTCTTTCTTTCTTTCTTTCTTTCTTTCTTTCTTTCTTTCTTTCTTTCTTTCTTTCTTTCTTTCTTTCTTTCTTTCTTTCTTTCTTTCTTTCTTTCTTTCTTTCTTTCTTTCTTTCTTTCTTTCTTTCTTTCTTTCTTTCTTTCTTTCTTTCTTTCTTTCTTTCTTTCTTTCTTTCTTTCTTTCTTTCTTTCTTTCTTTCTTTCTTTCTTTCTTTCTTTCTTTCTTTCTTTCTTTCTTTCTTTCTTTCTTTCTTTCTTTCTTTCTTTCTTTCTTTCTTTCTTTCTTTCTTTCTTTCTTTCTTTCTTTCTTTCTTTCTTTCTTTCTTTCTTTCTTTCTTTCTTTCTTTCTTTCTTTCTTTCTTTCTTTCTTTCTTTCAATAATTATTATAACAATAGTAAATATAATATCGGTAGTTTTAATAATAGTAATAGTAACATTAATAATAATAAAATAACGACGACAACCACCAGCACGATGATAATAATAATAGTAGTAGTTCTTGTACTACAACTAGTAGTAGTAGTAGTAGTAGTAGTAGTAGTAGTAGTAGTAGTAGTAGTAGTAGTAGTAGTAGTAGTAGTAGTAGTAGTAGTACTAGTAGTACTAGTAGTACTAGTAGTACTAGTAGTACTAGTAGTACTAGTACTAGTACTACTACTACTACTACTACTACTACTACTACTATTACTACTACTACTAATCATGACGATGATGATAACAACAATATCAACAAATTAAAAAGGTCCTACCTCATGATAGGAGGAATGTCTTCATCGGTAATCTTGCCCCAGTGTTCCACGATTCCGGGCACGTGGCCAATACCCACCACTCCGACAACAACGCGTGGTGACATACCTGTTAGGTTATTAAATGACTGAATAACACTTTTGGAAGAATGAAAGAATACACTGATCCTGTGAAAAAAAAGGCTCTGGAGGAATGTCTCACTGAAATATGATCTTGTTTTAGATTTCTATTAAGTACTTCCATGTGGTTGGGCTCCTACATTAAACCAATGATCCTGGGATGCATACATACATAATATTACATGCATATATCTGAGTAAATATGAGCTTAGACAGTAGGGTGCATGTATACATTTACTCCCCAATTTGAGCTCACACCTATATATGTAATGCTGAGCGTGGGTTGGAAAAATATTCCTCCTGATTTTGGTGATTACTTTATGTTATAAGCATAGTAGATTTTGGACTCTTAGTGATAATGGTAATGGCATTCCGCTTGACCTCATCATTTGACAGCTGTATTTTTTAAAGAAATTGACTATTTTATATGGCAATCCCTCACATGAGGCTTTTATAGCATTTCGTCTCTCCAGCTTACCGTTTTCTTGAATTGTTTGAAAAAAACTCCCTCACCCTGACCATGGTTCCCCCTATGCAAGCTTTCATGCCCCTACCCTTCTACAAACCCTTGAGCACTGTTTCTGCCCTTGCCATTTGCAGATATATATATATATTTATATATATTTATATATCTATATCTATATATATATATATATTTTTTTTTTCTACATATACATTTATGCAGAATGTAAACACAATATGTTACAGTTCACAAGAAAAAAATAAGATAACAAAAGTTTACGTCCCTTTGAAAAAATCTATATCAATCATAATAAACAGACAAATCTAAAATACAGCCTCTTCTATAGTCTATTATAAATTGTATTAATAAGAATAAACTATAGTTTAAATTGCTAACCTTTACAGTTAACCATAGTAAGACACAAAATCACATATAACAACAGGAGTACCTAGAATTTAAATGAGAGAATAAATAAAAGTTAAAGGCTATTTCACCTGGCATAAGGAAAGCTGTCAGTGGCCTCTTCTGACACAGTAACCAGTAAACAAAAATTCATCTCCAAAATGCAGGCCTACAGACATCCCAGCATCATTGGATTGAAACTAAAACCTTCACAGATTAATTCACATTTAGCATTTGCAGTGGGTTAAGCAGAACTAGAGACATGAAAAGTATGAAAATGGTGTCAAAAACACTAACATTACCTTACATTTATAAAGAGAAAATTTAAAAATCCAGGCTCAATGAAAGACTAGGGACCAAAACTAACAACCCATTTGCTGTCTCTTACCAGAGGGTGACATGGGGTTCGGAACAGGTTGAGCAGCAGCTTGGAGGGAGCGACACAGGTAAATATCTCTTTCCTTAACAAACACTTCACTAATTGCAGGAAATTGCCCTGTCATCTCTGCAAGCATTTCTTCTATGAAATCTCTTTGCTTGCACTTTTCCACTTCTTCCTTGCTGTTAACACAAAGATGATACTATGAGACAAAGGGAGTTGTGACTGTGCTTGACAGTTTTTCTGGTCAAGTAATGGGGATGTTACACTAGGGTGTTGATATCTGACTTCAACTCTTTCAGCTTCTAAAAATGTATATTCATCTCCCACATACACTTGAGATGGGATGTGTAGACACTGACAGGTGAAAAATATGTCCAGCTTCATTTTCAAAAATATGGATGAAATATAGAGCTACAAAAATTTGAACAGTATACACTGATGTAAAATTTTCTCCTACTACCACATTAAAGCATTACATAACAAGTATTACATTTCAACCTATTCACATTGAGTGATCTCTAATTACATCATGGCAAACTGGGCCAAAATTCTGGGTGTCATATGCAGAAAAGCCTGTTCTAAATTGTGTATACCAAACAGCTATTCGCTTATTTCTCTCTAATTGCAGCTAATGAAGTAATGAAGCCCCTAAAAAGTCTGCTTAAAGTCACTATTTTAAACTTATTCCCTAAAAAATTGTGTATGCCATAGCCAAACCTGTTTCCCATGGCTGAGTGCAAAGCCTGATGTGTGGCTAAGTATTTTTTATCTCCCAGTATTTCTAGCAATGATTCTTACAGCCATCATTCATCAGCCTGTCCTATTCCTTGACAGTCAAGCCTCAACTCAGTGACACTAATTGATTCTTGACACTTTTTGTTAATTGTAAGTGACAGCCACAACTTCAGTTTCTAAGTTCAGAATCTCAAAACTCCCTTTAGTAAATCAGAGTGAGGGAGTGAATTAGTGAGCAAGTGCAAGTAAGTACAAGTGTGTTGAAGGAAAAAGGGTTATGAAACCATTATATACATCAGTTTTTGTAATGAGTCTCAATACACACAGAAAGAGTAACAGCATTAATGATGGTAATGAATAATAAATTCAGATATTGTGTGCACACATTCATTATAAATACAAAATATTAAATTATCATTGACTATTATCAAAACCCAAAGTGTACTTCACAATACAGAAGTAAACAATGATCACCAAAGTACTTACCTAATTGGTTCTTTTGATGTAAGTATATGCCAGGTAAGCTTCACTTTATGCCAGAGAGAGAGTGACGCTAAGGCACGGGACAATGTAACCTGGATTGGCCTATCACCCAGCTGTATCAGGCAACCTGGAGCTGATCTGCGTGCCTAGAGGAGTCATAAGGAGAGAAGGTAATGATATGGTATCTATAAGTAAGTTTCATCCTCTTCTTTAATTACAATACTTTTCCAAGAGTAGACTAAAAGAAAAACTCAGCCAATGGTCCTATCTCACAAAGTTATATATTCCGACACCTATTCATCAATCCTTTATCCATTTACTCGTATATTTACCCACCTATCTTCTCCATAACACCCAACCCAAAGCCACTGATAAAAAGGCCTACCTCCGAGAAAGCTGTGCGGAACTCTCCTCCTGGTGCCATTCCCAGCTGTTTTGTGATGTGTGCAGACAAAGAGAGAAGAAGCAAGTACAAAATGCCCTGGATCTTTCCATGCTGTTTCATGATCATTTGTACTTTTTCTGAAAGGAACATCATGTCATTAAAATTTTTTCTGAATTCTCTTATTTTGTAAAACTGTGCAATAACAAGGTACAATCAGTCCCATTCAACAGCACTCTGATTATTTGTTTGCAGCAAAGGTACTGTCATTGAACGCTGTTCACCTTTTATTTTGTATAAACCATTTGCAACACTTCTTAAATCACAGATAAACTTTTTGTGAAAGAAAATTACTAATGCAGAAAACATTCAGAATATACTCCACTCTCCATCTCTAATAAAAAATAATGGAATCATCCATTGTCACATTCTCTACAGCTCCTATGGTCTCAAGGCGAATTACAGACCACTAGTAAGCAGCATGATAAAGATTAACTAAATAGTTAATCCAGAATATTAATCCCATGTTATCTACCTCTAAAATACAGCTTTTACACCTAAAAACAACTTGAATTGACATAATAATGCACAACTCTATGCTGACATCAAACTTCTACATTTCCCTTATTTCGACTCTGAATAACATTCTTAAAAATATTTCCAGTGAAATGGGATATCACTAGGTTTTTTAAAGCTAAAAGAACAGAAAAGCTGCAGAATCTACTGTCTATTTCTACTAGCTGATATACTAAAGCATTACATGGCAAGTATTACTTGCACAGACATTTTGAAAATTAAAAGAGGAAATTATCTGGAACATCATATACAATACACCTATTACTTTAGGGAACATTTATAAAACCAAATAAGGTATTAAAATAGATAGTCTCCTGAGAAGTTTACTACATAGCTATATATAAAATAAGTTACATTCTTAAATAACAACTAAATATTGGATACACTTACTGAAGTCAAGGCTTCTTGACTCCTGAAGGATTGTTTCCTCATCCAGCTGGAGGATGGCAGTACGTGCTTTACACAATTCCACAACAACTATGTCAGGTTTGACTGTTCTGATTGTCTGGGGATTAAAGAAGAGCTAATTAAATCCCTTATTCATGCTCTGATAGGCAAATAATTTTGAAGTAATGAGTTGCTCTAACTAAAATTGTCAATCCTGTTGTAAGAGTATATCCAGCTAAGGAAAACTGACAATTCACAATGGAGAAATCTAGTAAAACATCTAAAACATTCTCAAGGAATAAAGAAGAGGGAAAAAAAAGGCAAAATAAGAATAAAAATAAATAGGCACATCAATCTAAAAAAAGAAAAAAAGTCTCACAGTTGCAACATCCTCTTGGCTCTCCCGTGAGAAATGTGCCGTTCCCACCAGGAAGACAGAACTACCGAATGGGGTGTCCAGCCGTGAAACAGTTTCAGGCAACTGCACAGTGCTGGGGATGCGACTCGGGGTTGATGCCAGAGGCACAGGGAGGGATGACTCGGATATACTCTTCGAGTCCTCTTCGGTGTTATCTTCCACATCGCTTTCACAACCTGAAGGGCTGCCTATTTTCGACAAAGCAGTGATAAGTTTTATATTAATGCTGAATCACCGTATACAAAATGTCTTATCTGTAATACTTTTCATAGCACTATACAAAAAGTTAATAGTAAGGGTGTGAATTTATATGTACTGTACCATGCAGTGACAGAAACAGTTTCCACTATATATTGCATGCTGTTACACTATGATCTATTATTTTGAGTAACATGATGTGATATAACATGTGGATGTATTGTACTAGCTCATATTGTTGAATCATTAATGCATATATCAAATTTCTAAAAAAAAAAAAAAAATCTTAAAATACTCTTGATGAAAAACATGAAAACTCAGCTAATACACAAAAAGAATAAAAAACTACTTTACAACCGAATCTCACAAAAGAGAAGAGCACCGCCTAGATAGAGTGCCACAAACACAACAGACCTTCTTTGGGGGGAGGCTGTTGTGTAACCAGATGCTGGACTTGGACTGTGACTCCTTCGTTTACTTCTGGTGATGCGTTGACCTGAGGCTCCTCTGCCTCCTCTTTGCATTCACTGCTATCTTCAGCACTAGGCTCCTTGTCAGCTGCAAAACCCAACACATGCTTAAAATGTGTGCAATACCTTTGTTAATCCAATTTTTCTTTTAATCAACATTACCTTTAACTTCATATTTTATTATCTTAAATTTCAATTCCATAGCTAATAAACACGTCTTCATTGCTTTTGTCTCGAAGTACATTCAACATGATACATAACCAATACTATTACGTACAGCCACCTTTGGAAATACCAAAGATCTCCAGTCACTTTTCAAATATTAATCCATTGCCGCAGGGGAAAATGAACAAAAAATGGGGGAAATGCAGTACTCATTTTTTATATTTTTGTGAAATATCTCTGTCCATAGATGGCTCTGCTAGTCCTGATTTCACCTTTCCTTGAATTGGTGGGTAAAAATGTATTTTTACTAGTGCTATAAATAGAGATGGTGTTATTTTTAACAGCAAATTAGGATAACGTTAAATATTTTCGTAAATCGATGAAAAGGGTGAACGGGCGAGACAGGCAGTATTCGTAATTGGCTCATTGGATACTTAGTACAAGTGTAGCCATCTATGTGTAAAAACAATCGAACAAGTCGACTCACAGTGGGCATGGCATGCACGTACATGCCATCCCCGGCGGCAATGGGTTAATCACTTCAAAAATGCCATACCCTTTTTAGCAAGAGGAAACTGGATTGATGCCGAAACAACCATTTCACTTTCACTGACATCCTCCTCGTCTTCCTCTTCTTCTTCATAGCCATCCTCTTCCGAACTGTTTTCCTTCAGTAGGATCTGTTATGGAGAATTCTTTCATTAGGAATTACCTTTACCTCGTAACTTTTATCAACCGTTCACTTTTACTAAGTACCATTCTTTTAAAATATATTGTCATCTGCATCTTTATTTTTTTCATTATATTTTAATTTCTTATGTATATATATGATATATAATATTATACATAATATTATATATATATATATATATATATATATATATATATATATATATATATATATATATATATATATATATATATATATATGTATATATATATAATGTCCAAAACCTTTCTATATACTTATGGATACAATAAGCCAGCAGCTAAATACCAGATCAAAATAACTATAAACTCCAAAATACCAATATGATCAGCTATCAACCTACATCAACCTTGTTCCACTAAACCTTTGTTTACCATACAAATTATTATTATCAAAGACACAGCAATACACAGTACAAAACTAAATATCAAAATCAGTAACTTAAGATACAAGATACAAGATACTCACCAGTCTACACAAGCCATTATATTTTTTAATTCCCAAAATGGCTGTTGCTAATGTCTATTACATTTCACTTTTGCACCATCAGTAGGCACTTATATACCAATAAAAAAACGATACACCTGAACAGTACAACTATTACAGATAGCAAAGTTAAACCACTATATGTGAAAATTCTGCCTCAGTCCCAATAATACATGTGGGTTTATAGGCCATCAAAAATAAATATAAAGAAACAATAAACAATGGCCTTCTTCAAACACTGATTTGTCTCTTTAAGTATCACAAGGACTTGCTATCTTTTGATATTAGAGTTTACAGCAAGCAAAGAGAATGCCCTTATGCACATACATACACATACATAGATACAGATATAAACATATATGGGAAACTTCTTTACTGTACCTACTATACTACTCCATACATCTTTATTCTAGTCATACTACGGCCTGGTATCGACTTGACAAACCTGACGTGATTGTGCTGTAACCATGGAATCTGTATCAGAACTCTGCTCTAATTCCTTTGCTTCGATTTCTTGGTACGATGCTACAACCTGTTGCTTTGATGGGTCTGATGCTACACTTCTTTGTTCCTTGTAGTAAAATGTTGATTTGAACAGTTCTGAACATTTTTCCTCTTCACACTCCAGATAATCTTTAGCCTCTTCATAGAGTGGTGAACAATCTTCATCATCAAGCTGTAAATTTCCAGTTTCTTTCGGGTGTGAGGGTTCCATCTCTGGATGTTGCATGGAATCTGCCTTTGCATGCTGCTGTGAAATAACTACTTCAACATTCTGCTGTATGCACTCTATTTCTTTAGGTTTTGTGTATTCTGTCTCTTCATGCTGCAATGAGTATTCATAGATTTTATGAACATTCAAGGTTTTGGGTTTTTCAAGTTCTCGTGAGATAGTATTTCCTTGCGGTTGTGAAGGAGAGGGCACTTCAGGACGTAATAAAGATTCTGTACTTTTAACTTCTTGATGCTCTTTACATATATCTTTCTGAGTTCTTTCTTCACACTGATCCTTGCTATTTGCTTGTTGTATATGATCTACCTTGACTTCTTGCAACTCATTCAGCACTTCAAGTTTCTCTTTTACAGATTTTTCTGTACTAGTTGTGTCCCTTGATTTTTGTACCCCAATCTCTTCATAACCAATAAAAACAGAACTATGGTACATTTTTCTGCCACTAAGCAAGCTTTCTCCAGGGTCACATTCCTCATATTCAGATGAAATACCCCCGGGCAAACAATCTTCATATTTGTGGTTATCATCTGAAAGTTCCTCTGTTTGTAACTGCTGAAGTTCATCCCCTGAAGGTGTAGTTCCATTCTGGGAACTTGGACTAGGTGTAGCATCATTACATTCCACTTGTGAGTGTACCTGTACTCTCCCTTTTCTGCTGTCTTTATCCTCTTCTGTTTGCTGTACCAATATCAATTATCTGTTACTTGATAAGATCATTTGTTTATTCTATATCTAAGCAGCTTTTATAATGTAACAGAACAGTACATCATCCTTATTCTTCACTTAATCAAAAATCGTATTTCTTTAAAAAAAATAATAAAGCAATACAATTTAAAAAACATATAATAATAAATGAAAATGCTACAGATACCTGTTACAAAAAGAAAATGTCCAGCCAAATTTCCAGCCAAAATATTACAAACACCAGATAACATAATAAAAGACACATCTAAGGTATAATCTACATGAACTTTACTCACTTCATTTCAGGAAAACAGAACTAAATCTATCCTCAGTAACATTGGTAACTGCGTCCACGACTTAGCAAATCATTCCAGAAACAACCTATTAAATATACCACCAACATGGTTACTACCTGGCTTTGCATTTTACATGAAAATGTAAAATCCGAGCAATCCTAATAATAAACACTCATGGTTACACATTTTCATATAATACTCATTCTCTTCACATATTTTGTAATGCAATTCTATGTGACATTTACAATCAACAGCTTATTCTATCACCAAAGACTTTAATTATCAATTACTATGCCATCAATTAATCCACTGATGCTGAGAGGGTATGCATACATGACCTGTATACTGTGATTTGAGTTTATGAATTTTGATTACACACTGATGGCTCTACAAAGGCAACGATAAATTCGAAAAATAGGGCCAGGTAGGCTAAAATCATTGACTCTAGTGACTCAACCCTCTGTGAAGCCATCTATGTGTAAACAAAAGGACAAAACAAAATTACAGTGGTCAGTAACCAGTGCCAATGAATTAAACTATACCACTGAAAATGTCCACATCACTCGGTATTTCATTCAGACGAGACTTCACCGACACAAAGTAATCAAACAAATAAGACAGACCATCGAACAAACTTGCCTCATGACCAAAAGCCCTAGAAAACAGGCACTAAAGAGTATATTGTTGAACCTTAAAAATCCACATCATAAAGCACAATAAAAAAATATTAAAAAATCTAATAAAAAAGTGGTCATGCCCAGCAATCACTCTCCTTCTTTTCCTACCTGCTTATCCTGCTTTACTTCCTGCTTGTCTTGTATGACAGCCTCCTGTATTTTACTTCTTTCCTCTTCTTCACCTTTATTTGCTTCCTCCACCTTCTGCTCCTCCTTCTGCTGCTCAACCTCTGAACCTCCTGTCGGCCCATTCTTGTTCAGAACAACCGTCTCCTTTTTACCAAAGTCCTGAGTCTCCTGGTCTGGTTCCAGGTCAGGAGAGACAGCTATTGCAGAGTCCGTTGACTGTACCAATGAATCCGCCGAGAGGTCAGAGGTGTTATCCATAGCCTCACTGGAAATTGTAGAAAGATTTTGTAAAAAAAAAAAAAAAAAAAAAAAAAAAAAAAAAAGTACTTCTCAAGTCATGTTGTTCAAGTCTGACAACCTATCATATGAGAAAATAATAAGAAAATAAAAGATGGCAGGAACTTCTGGAAGGAAAGCCTAGAGTATATACTATTTCCTAAAAAAAAAATGTTAGTGTTTCTGGAATCCTCCATAGCATAATCCACATGCAAATTTTTCACAAGAGTTAAATGTTTGTTAACAAATTAGCACACCAAATGGAAAGTAACATGACTTCCAGCTCATGTGAAGAAAAGAGCATTATGTAACTTCAATCCAATGAAAAGAGCAAACAGATTCTCAGTGCACATTATTCTACAGTGTCTTAATTACTGAAAAGATAATGTAGCAAACATAAAATACATAAGTCTTTAATACTCTCAACCTGAATATTTTACAACCAAACGTGTTAGGTACAAACAAGAATAATCTGCCATGTTAAGTGTTTGATAATACTAACACAGATATTGCATTACTCCCCTTTTCTTCAATATGCATTTTGTATAATGGAGGCAACTCCTACTATTATCATAATTCCCAACAGGACATCCCCATACTAAAAGTTCTAGCTTAACTTACACCTGAATGAGATCAATGACAAAAATACCTAATACTCTTGAGAATACTACAAAGAATATCAAACAATGACACTAGACCATCAACTCTCTTTTCTTTTTTTTTCTTTTTTTTTTTCTTTTCTTTTCTTTTCTTTTCTTTTCTTTTCTTTTCCTTTCCTCTCCTCTCTCCTCATTCCCCTTTCCTCTTTCCCCTCTCTCCTCTCTCCTCATTCCCCTTTCCTCTTTCCCCTCTCCCCTTTCCCCTCTCCCCTCTCCCTTCTCCTCTCCCCTTTCCCCTCTCCCTTCTCCTCTCTCTTTCAACTCATCTCTTCTCTCCTTTCATCTTGTATATCATCTCACCTTTCCTGTCTCTTAACTCCTTTCATCTCATCTCCTTCTCACTCTCATCTCATCTTTTCTCTTAACTCCTGTGCGGTGCATAACTTAGAAGCAAAATGAAACAGACACTATGTCACACCAAGAATATCCATTGTGACAAATGGAATCAAAGTAAACCTTATCCTCTCTCCTCTTTTCCTCTCATCTCCTCTCCTATTATCTCTTTTCTCCTCTTCTCTTCTCCTCTCATCTAGTATCTAATTTCAAATCTTCCCTCTCAACTCATCCTTTCCTTTCCTCTCTCCTCTTCTCTCTCATCTCATTTCATCTCTTCTCCTCTCTTATCTCATCTCATCTATTTTCCTAGTTTTCCTCTCCCCTCTCATCTCATTTAGTTTTTCCCTTCCCTCTCATCTCCTCTCTCTTTACATCTCATCTTATTTTCCTCTCCTGTCTCATCTCATCTCCCTTTCATTCCTCTCTCCTCTCATCTCATCTATCCTCTCCTCTCCTCTCATCTCCCCTTCATTCCTCTCTCCTCTCATCTCCCTTTCATTCCTCTCTCCTCTCATCTCCCTTTCATTCCTCTCTCCTCTCTTTTATCCTTTCCTCTCCTCTCTCTCTCTCTCTGCATTTTCTATAACAGTAGTAACTTTTTCAACCATGACACTCCATTGAGCAAATACTATGAGACATCCCACCATGAAACATGCATTTTCTGGTGTGTAAATTTAAACTCAGCAAACTTCAGTGATCAAGACTGGCCTTGATTCAATATGAGAGTTTGATGCATTTTGTGGCTAGGCACTAAGGCAAAGCCAAGGAATTACAATTATTTGATATTACATAAGACTGAATAATGGGTTAATGTAACATAAGTTCTGATTATTTTTTCTTCATTAAAGATGAGTTTCTTCCCTCTCCATGCTTTCTACATCAAATAATATCAATGTCAGTGGTCAGTACAAATGCAAGGCATAGTACACTTCCAGTCATAAAGAATGTGCAAATGCTAAGTTAGATCCTAAAGAAAATTATATCATATACATGCTCAGGATGTTCAGTAGAGCTTTTCATGGTAGTATGACAAGGTGGAACGTGCTTTTTTTGCAGATCCTGAATTATTTTCTATTTGTTTAAATATAACCCTTTAATCCTAAATTATTGAGGACTCATTATTCGACATTAAAAGCAATCTATCAGAGTGTAAACCACTGATCTACAGGAAATGCCAGGCTGAGAACTTCAGAGCTCCAAGGAAGAACAAACAACAGACCTCAGAAGAAACAACATTAACAAGGGTGAAAACTGGGAAGAAACACATGACCTTGCAACACAAACCATAGTCTATGACATTTTACCTCTAGTGTCCAAAAGGGTGATCCACAAGGGGCTACCAACAAGGTGTCTCTGTAGGAACTCCATGAGAAGGGAGGGGCTTACACTGAACCAATATACTTCCCCAGGTTCACAGTTTCTGAAGGTGCCGCTCAAAGAGCCAAGCCTGCTATAAATCCCATACTTCAAGCCCTTGCCCCTTCTCTATGACAATGTCAATATGACATTGCAGGTATGGGAAACTGCAAATGCCTTTGGACTCAAGGGATTGGGACGAAGGAAGTCTGTTCTGAGACATGATTACCTGAAAGTACCATGGTTGTCACTACAACTCGCAAATGTTAGTCCGAGTCAACCAAAAGGGATCACAGCTGTTTCAGGTACTTCAAGATGGTTATTATATATATATATATATATATATATATATATATATATATATATATATATATATATATATATATATATATATATGTGTGTGTGTGTGGAGAGACAGATAAGTAGATTTTGCAATGAATGATAAATTCTGCAATATACTCCTTATATGAATTTAGCCCATTGCCACCTGGTACATGTACTGTAATTTTGTTTTGTAAATTTTGCTTAAATACAGATGGATCCACAAGTGCTCAGCCACCAAGGAATCAAATCATCAAGCAATTCATGACCTCACCTGATTTCACCATTCCTTGAGTTTTGAACACAATTTTTTTTTCTCTAATGCTGTTAATATTGATACTGTTATCAACACTGACATTATGAATCTCATAATATTGTTAAACTACT